TTTATTTGCAAAGCAATACTTATGAAGATCTTATAAGTAAGAATATTGTAAATGAGGTTTCACGTGGTGGTCTGCCCGTAGACTGTGTGCTTCGGGCCGCACCTTTGACCGACCAAGTAAGGGAAATCATAGAACAAAGCACTGTGTACACCCCAGATGGTCGAGTCTACGATAACTATGAAGACTTTGAAGGATTCGTTAGAGCAAAAACTGCTCTTTCGGTCCGAGTGGGTGCAGTAATGCGTGATATTTTAAAATCGCTCAAAAATGAAAGAAAAATGCCTGAGAATCTTCGTCCTGGAATGCAGAGGATCCGTGATGTCATTACAAAAAAATTCATAAGAGAAAAAGTTTTTGTCGATACGCTAGCGAACGAATGGTGGAGGGAAGAAAGACGTGAAGATAAAATTGCCGTTAACAAGCTCGATGACGCGATACTAAAAGTGGTAGAAATGATGAAAAGAATAGCAGGCCTTGAAACGATACAGCTGGTCGTACATTGGGGACAATGGGCTTTTCGTGTGTCAGAGGGACTCGATCACATTGAATCAAAGAAACTTGTTTATATATAACCAAATTGATAGGTTCGTTTCTATCTCTACCCGAAAGGGAACACTGCAAAATCAATTGTGAAAGCTTGAAGTAGAATCAAACCTTGTGCGTTAATAGTTTCAATTTTGTTTGCTTTTGATTCGTGTCTTTTAATTACCTTTCACACGTTAGAAAGCCGGCACCGTTAGAGAATAGAGGAATGGATAATGTAAAAGAGACGCCGCTAAATGTTATCCTCATCAAAAAGTTGCACAGTGTAACGCTGATATCGGACATGCACTGCATAATACCTGTCAGTAGAGAATAGGAGAGGGTCGAAAATTAATGATCATAACAAGTTAGAAAATCAGACCTGGTAATACAGGCAACACGAATTGTCTACAGGACCGCAAACTTTACAGTGAGTCCATTTAAGTGTTTCCTGTGGCCTTAAATTCAGGAGGCTTAAAGGCCGTTTACAAGGCAGAAAAATCGGGTACGGACGTGTTAAAAAAGCAGTACGGACCGCATAACTTTAGCTTTTTACACGGATGATGTTTCCTCACGGGTCGGACAAAAAGAGGCATAAGGGCCAAGTTAGCAAGGTTGCGTTTACACTGCAGTTTCTTGGGGACCGAACCAATTTTTTGCATGGGACTACAGTATTTGGTACAGCTGTGTGCTGTAATTGAACATGCGTACCGTATTTACTCGAATAAGCGCCGCGGCGCTTATTTAATTTTTCGCGCCACAAGTGCGGCGCTTATTCGAGGGCGGCGCTTATTCAAAAATTGCACCAGACAAATTTACTTTTTCTGTACTCTCATTCAACGGTGCACTTTCTATCTGTCAATTTTCCTATGGACTGATGCTAAACGGATAGTAAATATAGAATTACGAGAGAAATTCATGTGGTGAAAAAACCCCGAGCGTTTCATAACCCGAGCAGAGAAATACAGTCACTTTAAACTAAAGAACATCACATTTAAAGAATATAAATTGCCGATGCTGTGTTAAATTTGTTTTATAGTGTTTCTCCTGGTTATACGAAATTCCTCGAATAAGCGCTGCATCGGGAGTGCGGCGCTTATTCGAGGGCGGTGCTTAATCGAGGGCGGCGCTTAGTCTAGTAAATACGGTAATTCTTGTAAACAAAATGGCGACACGTGATGCAAGAAATTGGTCGGGACCCTTATTTTTTTCTGGTTTTGGTGCCATAGACGCCTATGGCCCCAAACCAGAAAAAACACGGGTCCGTACCCATCCCCTAAGGCATGGTACGGATTGTTTACACGGGAAAAGATGTCAGGTCCGTACTCCTTTTTTGACAAGTCCGTGCCCAATTTTTCTGCTGTGTAAACGGCCTTTTAATCTCAAAAGACAAACCTTCGAACCAATACAACCGTTCGCGCTTGCTATGCAGTGCTGTTCCAAAGTATCATCAAAATTCAGATGACAGTAAACAACGAACGCTTTCAAAAAGAAGATAAGAAACAACTTAAATAAACGAACAAATCTGTTGGTCTGAGAT